CCAATCACATAGGACACAGACAATACATTGAACCAATCAAAACTCGAAGTAATTACATGTGGCTGACGCAAAGCGCGGGAAAATGCATGCGAGCGCGTCACAATTGGCTTTGGTTTTACTTCTGATTGGATGAAAAGGTGGCGCGAATCTTTTAAGCCAATCGCATCGTGTAGAAAGTGCAAAACCAATTACTTTTCGACACTCAAATGAAAACCGCTCTATTACAAAAACGTCATGCAATAACGGTTTACTAGTCTACTCATTTTGGTGCATCATATTACACAATATGTTGATCCACACAGTACTACGTACATCCGTTTAATTATACTGCGAAAGTCTGCAGTAAAGAAAGAAAAGGAAGCCCTTTCGTACGTATATGCCTTCTAGCGGCAAAGTACCCCTTATACCAAGAGAGAATTCATTCTCTCTTGCCTTATACGGAGTACCTACAGTAGTTCAGAACCCTGTTTCCCTTTTAACAGCTTTTAATTGCTGTAAATACAATTCCTATAAAATATGTATAAATCACTTAACCAGAAGTTTTCCTAGTCGTCTTTATCACAGCAAGCGACACAATCAAAAGCAGGCGCGGATCCAGACCAGTTTCCACCGTTTTACGGAAATCGATCAGATTTTCATATCAAATATATCAAATAAATTAGCCTTGATGAAATAATCCGCCAATTTGCAAGGCTTCATCCGAGGAAAATGGAACTGGCCAATATCCTGTCTGAAGACTCAGAAACCCAGGAAAGAGGAGCTTAGGGAGTTAAAATTTCCTTAACGAGCGCCCGGCGAAGGCCCAAACTTCTCGGCTTCATAGAACGCGCCTAGAAGCTTGCACCTCGGTCCTTGTTTAGGAAATCGGTCAGTATTTATCCTAGATCCGCGCCGAAAAGATAACAGCCCTTTTAGGTCCTTTCAGAGACCGCAATGACAGATTTCCCTACCCATTCAGATACTTCGACTCGTGAAATCACTGTACCCTTTCATATACCTGAAGCCTGCAAAGGTACCCATTCGGGGGGAAACCTTCCCGTATTTCCTGATACTACCCCTTATTTAGGCAAATATCAATTTTCCCATTTTACGTAAAAATGGCTTTCTGAAGTAGACTACCATAAGAGAGAGGCGTTTATTCTCATAACTGTAACAAGCTCAACTAAACTAATATGCTTTCGGCGCAAATATCAAGAGAATTTAAAAATAATGGAATATCCACTCCATCAACTGATACGATTAGAGATCATGTTATCGCTCTTTCAAATCTCACTAGTGAAATCAGAATCCTCGCTCAGGGTTATTGTGTTGCCATCGTATGTAGGTCTATCCTTACTTCGAACCTGGCATTGACAAGATACACATCCTCGGAGACCCAGGGGCAGTCAGTCGGGCCGGGAGAAAAGGCGCGACGAAAGTTTTCAAGCACAGGCGGAAGAGCCCCTGGGTACCGACTCTCACCGGACCATTTCCAAACGGTCAAGTGAATGCTGGCTCCTGATTGGGCACAAAAAATGCTTTGTATTATTGTGCCCAATCGGCGAACATTTTTCTCGTGAGTTCTTTTCGTGAGTTCGTACACGATGGGTATTATGTCGCCACAGTTGCCCGGTTCGTACACCAAGCTTGTGCGTACAAGGGAAACTTCCATTTTCTACTTTCCTAACCAGAAACGAAGGACCTACCGATGAGTCGAAAAGCGTTTCGGATGCTATCAGCAGGAACAATTCATTTTGCACTGAGAAAATTCTGTTTCTGACGGATCACAATGTATCGTAAATAATCAGATAATAGGAAGTTTAAGATGCGGCGGCGACGAGATAATAAAAAAGTAATAGCTTGACAAGGCAAAACAACAACTTTGCACGTGCATCACGCATTTTGCAGATTTCTTTGCCGTCACTGCACGACTACCACGTGAAGATGCCTAATTTCAGGTTTTGTGAAGGAGGTAAACAAACAATGACAAAATTTTCTTTCTCTTTATGAACTTGGATATGGTTGATAGAAAATCAGCTCCAGAAGAGTTCGCTTGCATTTGACAAAGTAAGCGAGTTGGGAGAATCACGATAGAGACTTGAAAAATGTGAATTCACTTTTCATGCGACGTTTTCGTGGCTGTCAGCTGTCGTGGAATCTTAAACTCCTTAAGATTTACGAAGGCATGATCGATGCAAGTATGAATACCTGTTGTAAGCTCAAGCTTGTATTTTTGGAAAAGCGTCTTTAGTTTTCGGGCAGACAGTGGTAGTCTTTACACTAGAGCCTAAATAAGCTAAGAAATATTTCAAGACAAGTAAGTTTTAATTACTTCAAGTAAAATAAAGCTTCACACACAACCGATTCTTTTTTACTTCAGGTTATTTTCCCACGCAACAAAATTAAGATTGATTGACATGTCTCGCCTTTCTCAAAGCTCAAGAAACCGCAAAACCGCAAGTCAGCTAAGTAGGTCATAAGGATGGTTTTCAAGTCGCTTGAAACTTTCTTGAACCGTTTCAACTTTCCGACTTTAATGAGATGCAAAGCAAAGTTACTTGAGATTTTACTTAGGCCTTCACACACCAATTTTTGGTTAAGTAAAACTTAGCGGCTCTTAAGTCTTACTTAACAGCCTAGTGTAAAGACAACCAACCAGTATTTTGAAATAAAGTGTTTATATCAAACTGAAAGTTTCCTGACTGCGTGCATTTCTTTCTTTGGTGCATGAGCCAGACAAGCCGTGATCGAGTCAATAGCTGTCGCGTCGTGTACGAACTCACGAAAAGAACTCAGGAGATGCTGTTCCCCGATTGGGCACAATAATACAAAGCATTTTTTGTGCCCAATCAGGAGACAGCATTCACTTGACCGTTTGGAAATGGTCCGGTGAGAGTCGGTACCCAGGGGCTCTTCCGCCTGTGCTTGAAAACTGACTGACTGCCCCTGGGTCTCCGAGGATGCAAGATACAATACGCAAACCCTTGTTAATCAAGCAAGAAACTGAATAAATTGAACGATTTTGCTCCTTTATGCTACATCCTAGTATTTTAGAGTAATTCTCATAGGGGGCGTCTGTACGACGGGGGGCGTTTATTAAAGAGGGGCGTCTAATACAAATTTTACATTGTAGAGGGGGGACGTTCATTAGATAAGAGGCGTTTATTTGAGAGTAGGCGTCTAGTAGATCATCGTCATAATTTTAATATTTACATTTAGATACAACAAATATTTACAACAAGCGACTCTACCGTCGTTGCAAACGTTTTAAGCATAGATTCTTAACTGCTGAAAGACAAAAACATACAACGGAACATAACAGGTCTGCTTTCTTGGTTGTTGCTGATTCAATACTTTTTATAGAAACAGCGTTTTCACTCACGTGGCCGGCATCTATGCTAATTTATTGGAACAAAAGAAAGTTTTTACACACATAAGAAACGAGTTAAACTCCACAGGCTAGGTTTGAAAGACCAAGATGGCCGCCGTTTGATTGTTTTGGAACACCAATATGGCCGCCGTGACGTCATGTGATCATGAAAACGCTCTATTAATGCAACTAAAACGTCTTTTTAGCAGTACAATACAAAAGTTGCTTTTCTCTGGCCTACGTGCCACGGCGACCTGCACGCAGGTGATCTATTTTTTTCGCGCCTTTTCAGTCAGTTTTGATCAGTGGAATATATGACACTAGTTTAAACCAAGCGAAGAAAAAGGCTCTTTAACTCTCTGGCCTCGTAGGTAACAGTATTTTTTCCAGGGTGCATCTTTTCTTCTTCTAAGGGCTGTTCAACAACTGCTGCTACATTCTTGCCGTAAACTGCAAAGTAAACAGAAAATTAACTTTAATGATAGTCGTCAAGAATGCAGCGTGAACGGGAGTTTACTATATGGTACAAGTAAAACGCTCATCTATAAAAGGATCAAGAAAGGGAAACTTTCACTCAAGTGACAGTAATCATCAAAATAATGTCGATAATCTTAATTCTCTTTGTAATAATATCCTGAATTGACTAATTAAATTAAATATTCTTCGGCGCAAAATCTGGCTTCCGAGAAGCTCTCCTATAACTTGCATGGTCGGAATACACATAGCTATGAAAAAAAAAAGGGGAGAGGGAGGAAAGTGAGTGTATGAAAGCCCGAAGGATTGCTTGTCCTTGCCTGTAAGCAAGCTCGACATTTGACAATCGCGGGTAGCAAAGGGTCACGCGCAAGTCACAAGCGAAGCTAGCCTGATTCAGGCGTTCAGATAGCGGAGAGTGTCGCGTAAGCAGAGAAAAAAAAAAGACAAACAAAGGGAGAGATCACCTACCCTCCCTACCCCAACCCACATAGTTCTTTTTGTTTCCTGCTTACTTCTCTTTGCGCCATTCCGACTATCTGGACGCCTATTATAGGCTACAAGCGAAAGCAAAGCGCAAGGGCAGAAGAAAGACTGGAGAGATAGACCTTTCCTTCTTCTCTTCGCCATTATCTTTCGCGGCTCCTTCGCACGTGATCTTCGACTCTCGCGACTTTCAAATGGAGCGCTTCCTTGGACTTACTTTTTGAAAGTTTGACCCCTTCAGTGTTCACATATGCTATTGAGGTCTGGGGTGTGCTTTTTATAGTAACTATTTAAGTAGAATTGATAAGCTCTTTGTTAGGTGTTACAAGTTAGGTTACTGCTTAAAGCAGCACAGTATCTTGGACATTCGTCGTAACAGAGATATGAAGTTATGGCGAAGGATCTCTTCCACCAACACTGCGTTGAGCGATCTTTTAACTCCCCAGAGAACAAGGCTGATGAGAACTAGGTCGCAAAATTATATTTTACCTAATGTCCGTACAAGTCGTTTTAAATCAGTTTTTATTAATAGGTGTCTCTTTAATAGTAACTAATATTTATGTAGTCGTTTTCCTTATGTATTTTTTCGCTTCCCTTTATTTATTTTATTGCCATGTAAATTGTTGCACGTCTGTTTGCGCAATGAAGTATTAATAAAGACCTTTATCATTATCATTATTATTATTATTATTGCTCACAGATTATGTTTGTCCAGACTTGGTCATTACCCCGCGGGTACTTTACAACCATATCCTTCACATATACATTGCCCATATATGGCAGTACCCCTCGGGCTGGAGCTCCTGATAAGCTCCTACCCCAAGTCATTACCTTCACAGTGCTCCAAGAACTGAATGATATCCTGTATGACACTATCTCGCAACATAATCATATGCTTAGCCTGAAAGGAAAACAGAAAATAAAGTTTTGTGTTGTTGTTCTTGTGTTGTTGTTGCAGACGATACTACACTGAAGAAAATGAGACGGGCGATTTCTCTTAAAAAAGAACACACAAAAATGACAGAAATATATATATTGAAAAAATGGGCAAAGATGTGTGATCTAGCATTAAAGCACAAGGCGAAAGCTACTGTCTTTTGTGACGGCCAGAGATTGGCACGCGGCTGGATGCATCACAAACATCCTCAGGGGTAGTAGAACGAGCGAAACGCGAGCGCACGTGAAAATTACCCCACGCGAGAAAGGCGTAGGGTGATTTTAACGCGCGCTCGCGTTTCGCTCGCTTTACCATCCGTGAGGAAAACTGGGGACTACTCGTAGTCTACCTTGGAATCGGCTAGACAGAGCGCTGCTTGACGATGGCCACAGTAACGCGCGTCGAAGAGCGTTGCGTGACGACACTAAAAACGGCTGTGTAGCAGACTAAGCTTCAACTGATAGGGGTCGTTCGATTGGCCCGTCACCTCATCCTCCCAACCGAATGTGAGGGAGGAACGCGTGACGAAGCCTTAGCACTATGCGTCGGAGGCTATTATTAGCCGTGAATAAAGACTCACAAGAGTTTTTTAAAATAATCATTTCAGTGCTCCTTACCATGTTCTCTAGCAGCGACAAAAAGCATCTTTTGGCGTAAAACCACGTATCTGTTCCAAGCTACAATGGACAGAAGAAAAAGCAACGCAAACGAGTGAAATTAACCAGCAAAGGAGATTCTCCTATTAACTCGAACGCCACTCGCGTAGTCTTCAAGCATTCCCTGGAGACTGTCGGAGGCACGCGCGTGTCCCACGCAGGCTAATGAGTTCTACCACACCTTGACTTGAGTGACTGACAAGGGATAAGGTAAGTTGGGCGGAAGCTAAGGTAATAGTTGTTTGTTCAAAGTTTGGTAAATGTACCATGTAACTGTAACAAAAGAATCACACCTTTTTATTGTAGGGCTCCAGGCTCTTCATTATCCTGGATATTCCAAACTCGTAGTTTCCCTTGGCACAATATAAGGTTCTAGAAATACAGCAGCAGAAAAATAGAGTAGTTTTAAATGGCAATCTCTTAAGTAATTTTATCAAACATTGCAAACTTGCTTTCTGGCACGCAGAGAAAGTTCGCCTTACTTTAAGAACCAATACAGAGAAAAGCGGAAACTGAATAGATTACATACATTGGCCACCGCATGAAAATTCAAAAGCTCTCGTCAACCCGGCGGCGGTGAGGGGTGGGGAGGGGAAGAAATTAACCGAGCGCGTCAACTACCCAAACCCCTTTCCACTGGCGGTTGAAAAGTTCCCCGTGGTTCAAATTACGATCTCTAAAGAGAAAATAGACAGTTTATGAACAGACTTTCTGGCAAAGCCATATTGCTTATAATACGATGTCCTAATAAAGAGAGAAAAAGATAATTTTAAAAGCAGAGAAAAGATGTGAAAATGTATAGCTTGCACAAAAACTGATCACATCACTAACCCGATAACAAGGTTCACTATACACAAATGGTAAATCTTTTTGTCCGGATCATCATACGCAACTTGTTCCTGAAAAAGACAGCGTCATACACAGAAATATAACATGAAATACAGTTCTTTCAGTGATCATTCATAAACTCACTCATTCTAACAAGAAAGAAAACCATGTCCTCACCTCCTCTTTTTCAATTTTTCGCATTAATTCCTCGGCCTGCAAAACAAAAGGAAAGAACAATAATATTCAAACATGAAATAACTGATTTACTTGGCAAAAAACAAACACCACGATACTTACCTCTTCGTTAGCACTTGTCATGATGTAGGACACACAGAGATTGGCTAGCACTATGGCACTAACACTAAGAATCTGAAAAACATGACACGATGCAATGATGGACATAGCATTTCATCAGAAGCATCTGTTTCAGATAATATGATCTAATAGCTGAATTTCACTCGTAAAAAAATGTAATTCCCCCCCCCCCCCCCCCCCAAGGGCTTTTGGGGTGGGGAAGCGGTGGCGCCCCCCTCAAAACTTGTCCCGGTTTAAGGCAAAAACCGGTGATTTGCAAACCCTTTTCAAGCACAAGAGTTTTTTTTAACACACCGCGCGCAGTTTCTTAATTCCCCCCCCCCCCCACCCCAAGGGTATTTCGGGTGGGGAAGTGCTGCCGACGCCTTCAAAACTTGACCGCGTTTAAGGCAAAAACCGTTGATATCGCAAACCTGTTCAAGACAAGAGACTTTTTTTCACACACCGCGAGCAGTTTCTTATTTTATAGATAGGGAGCATGCGCGAGGGGCCGTGAGGAAAGAAAGAAGACTTCTCACGGGCTATTTTTTCTTGACATCGATTAATTTCAGTTTGCGTACAGAATTAAGCATTTGACATCATGCATAGAATTAGTTAGTTTTTAAGACATTGTTGGTAGCACGCATGAATGTCCGCACACCGCCAACGTTTCAAACCTGTTCAAAGTATTTAATTGACTAGAAGACATATCTCTTTGAATTTTGATCGCTTTTATGTACCACTCGTGTAAAACACCTTCACCTATCTAGATTCCTGGTTAGATGCTCATGAAAACACGGCAAATGGTCTCCTTAGATGACGTCACAACAACGTTCGTACCCAGCTCCCACAAATGCTCAGGTAATGAAACAGAAAACAGCTGAGGAACGCGGTTTTTTTTTAATTACTATAATTTTTTTCGCACAGGTATTAGGAGATTTCGTTTACGATGAACATTTTTGGAGGTTAGTTACACTTTAAGAAGAACTGAATACATACTTACATTGTCATAATGCTTTTTTACGATTGGCTCGTAAAAACCAACAGCTTCTTTGTATTTATTTTCCTGTTGAAAAAAATGAAGATAACTTATTACGCGGTCTGTTTCGTTGAGCTTGTCCAGATCATTGTTTGCAGTATAAGCGGCTATACTTACTTGCATGAATAATACGTGAGCCACGTTTAGCTTCCAAATTTCATGTTCATTGCAAAACTCGACAGACTTTCTAAATATCTGCAGAAAAAACAAGGATGTTTGAGTTTACAAAAAAAACGTGCCTGCGATATTGTGCGATTATTTATAAGCTTGGGGATGATGTGAGTCGTGACTGAAGAGATACATGTAAAGGGTCTTATCGGTAGTTGAGGATCTTTTTTTTTTTGAAAACAAAACAAAACAAGCGACCAACGACAATTTCCAAAAAAGAGCACTTTTATCATTTACCTTTTCAACCTGTGCGTAATTATCAAGATCCCAGTATATTTTCGCTTGAGACATCAACACAGGGATGTACCTACAACAAAAACATCATAAAATCGTTTGTCCTAGCTCTTGACAGATAACCTTGAAAATTCCGAGAAATACTTCCTCTGCAATCAAGAAGGGGATGGGAGGTCCTGGAGGAGGGCAGTAACTTTGAGTGGTTCAAAGAACAGGAAGAACGCGCGGAGCGAGAGGAGAAGGTAGAGGAAAATGAAAGGTTGACAAGAGAAAAGAAGGGGATGAGGGGAGAATAGAAACAGGGAGGGAGCAGTAGGGTTTGGATAAGGAGAAGAATTAAAAGTACCTGGGGGAAGGGAAAGAGGTGGAGAGGGCGTAAGGTAGTCGTGGGTAAGGGCTAAGAGGGAAAGGAAAAGGAGAAGAAACAGGACCGGCATGAATGAAAGAAAGAAATCAATAAGCCAAGCAATGTTGTTGGTACCTTTCCAGAGCTTCATCGTATTCATTCACAGCTTTCTTAACAGTGTCGTCATCATGATTCTGTCTTGCTTCTTGAACCTTTAAGCACAGTACATTGTATTAAAAAAGGAATAATTCAAAAATGTTTATTAAATAATGACTGATGCTATGAACAACCTATTTATGCTTGTATCGCACAAGTTTACCATCCTCTGTTTGTGTTGCAGACTGCATGCATGGAATAACTGGCTCGGTTGTACATTAAGCTTTTCCACAAACGACATTTATGGCTTTTTTGACTTCATCAGTTTAAAATAAAATCCTCAGAAACATGATGTTATGTGTTTGCTTAGTAGCTTTAGAAACATTAAGTTTGATTCACTCAAACATAGAGAAATTAACCCCAATTTTTTCTATTCCTCAGGAAAGCAAACATTATAATACTCTTAATATCCTCTTCTTCTACCTTTATGGAAAAAAGGCTTTCAAAACAACACACTTTGAATGTGTAGGCTTAAGCTCTTAGCAGGAACCTTGATATCTATTCACTCCCTTCTTATTGCAACACTTCAGCAAAGGAGTTCTAGGTATACATCACAAAAACTCCTGTGGATTTATCTTTAAAAAACTAAACCAAACAGACCACTAACCTGTTTTGTTAGTTTCCTTAAGGTTTCTGTCTGTTTTGTGGCCATATCATCTAACTTTCGATAAGCCTATGAAATTATAATCAAATAAATCATTTACAAATCAAAGACTTTTTTAAAAATTGTGGATAAACCTTCTTTTGTGGGTCAAACTAAGAACAACTGTGTCATAACCAATCACGAAACGAAGATTCACATAAATAATCCAAATTAACATTAATGCTTACAGTTTACTTATTATGTTTGCAAATTTTGTACAGTGAAACCTCTATTAAGTAGACCCCCAATTAAGGGGACACCCTCTTTTAAGCGGACACTATAAAGCTGAGTACCGAAATTAATGTCCTATCGTTCTCTTTATAACAAACCCCTATTCAAACAACACCTCTATTAAGCAGACGCAGACACTAAAGTAAATTGTATTTCGCTAATTTCTACCGTTAAAGACATCTATCAAGTGAACACCAGATTGAATTGACAATAGCAAGTATTGGATTACTTCCTTGAAATATGTACTGTAGTCGATAAATTTGGTTAAACGTAATTTAACTGAGTTAACCACCACGAGCTTAGTGACCAAGCAGTCCACAAGCTTAGCAGTCAAGCGGTTCACAATTAGCGGTCAAGCGGTTCACAAGCTTAGCGGTCAAGTGGTTCACAAGCATAGCGGTTAAGCGGTCCACAAGTTTAGCAGTACACAAGTTAATTAAGCGATCAAGCGGGCCACAAGCTTAGAGGTCAAGCAGCCCACAAGCTTAGCGGGCATCCAGCAGTCAATCCCATAAGTGCAGGCTTACATGGTACATGGTAGCTTTGTACACTGCTAGCATCTGTGAGTTCTTTGTTGAGCGTTTGTGCAGTGGTCTGTGGAGCAGTTCATTTAGCGTCTTCACCATTCCTTATTTTTCTTCCTTCCACTGTTTCATCAGTGTGACAGGTGCCTGGAATGGGGGCTCATGGTTGGGTTGGGGGATTTGCCAGCCATGGGGGCGGTATTCTATCTAGGGGCTGGCTGGCCACAGTGGAAGCCCCTGGGTATCCCAGCACCCAACTTCCACTTAAGTGAGGCAGTTGGTTAAATAAAGATAAATAAACTGTAGATTGCGGCAGTTTTCTGATACAAACCTCCTCTGGTGATGTTTGCTGTGTTATCATGGCATCCAGAAAATCATACATGTACTGTACAAAAAAAGAATCAGAAATACTTGATCAGATTTCACTAATAAATAAAGCAAGCAGACAAGCCTGCTTGGTTGGTGTTGATGTCGTGGTTCAATAAATATACTTAGCCTACATTTTATGTCCGTTTGTTTTGAAGTATGGTAATGTGCATTGTATGATAACGAGTTTAAAACAAAGGAAAATAAAAGTTAAACCAAAGATAAAATTAAATCACAACATAGTCAAAGAAGGTGGTTTAATTATATAACTCTTCCCTACGGACAGGTTTGTGTTCCTTTAATGTTGGCAAAAGCCCAGAAAAGTCAACTTGTAACTAGCGCATTAACTTACATGAAGCATTTCCACAGGCGTTTTCCTTTTCTCTTTTTTTTTTGAAAATTTGACAGCCCACGAGCAAAGCAAGCATGCTAGCACAAGCACTGAGTGACTAAATCTGCCGCGGTTTTTATTTTCATATAATTATGCACTCAACAATCTCTGAAGAAAAAAAGGGTCTGTTAACTAAGGCAAGCAAGTAATAGCCCCAGGCAACATTTACACAATAATATTTTTATATTACAGATTCTTGCAAAATCTACTATGGACATATTCGCAAGCTCCATATACAGGTCAGGCGAGCAAAATGTGAGAGCTGTCCTTTGTAAGAACAAGGACAAGCTGGAATTCAAGTTTCCTTTTTTCAAGCCGTGGCTTGGGTAGATAAAAAAGAGGAGTTCATGTGAGTGATTGTACTTTACAAGAAATCTCCAATTAAAAATATTAGAAGGAAATGTACTGGAACTGATAATGTCAGAAATCTTTTGAATGTCTTTGTGGGTCCCTTCGTGGAAAACCTTTAATAAAAATCCCTTCCCTGTAACTTAAAACATGTTGACAGGTCGACAATAGTTGGAGTTTACTGCTGTAGCTATGTTTGTTAATAGCCAGCTTGTTTGCCTTCTTCCAGTCACTGTCCCTAACCATGTCTAAGGGGTTCCTGTATGTTAGCTGGAGCAGCTAAGAGAACATTTGCTATAAATTAAGACTGTTACATTTGCATTCTTGGATTAAATCACTTACTGGTGTGAGGAATTTATAAGTCAGGTGAGCATTCTCCGCCAACACATCTGCAGCCAGATCAAAATACTAGAAAATGAAGAGGAGTAATATGAGGAGTAACATGTAAATACACTAGTTTGACAGAGAAATCTACTGACCCCTGACTACTGGAAAACACTTTTGTTGCAACCTCTCAGTCTAATTCTGAACAAACAATTAGCTGTAGGTACAAATATCTTAGTTAATCACTGCTACTATCTAGCTATTTAAAAAAAACACATCAATTCAATTATGACATTTATGTATGTGACATTCACATTTTCATTTTATTTTGAAAGTTAAATTCTGATGTTAAAGGAGGTGATTGAGTAATTTGTTTCATTGAGGGTAATTTTATTACTTGCATCTTACAGTACCTGGTATTTAACATATAGCAGCAGGAGATTTCCAAATGTTTCTACAAAACAAAAAGTGTCGTAGATTTGAGTTAAATAAAACAGAACTGGAAGTTGGACATTTTATAAACTTAGGAATAACCCAAGGTCTGTCTTGATTGCTGACAGCTATCATATACTATACTCTTCTTTGCATAAAATGTACAGCATCTGTCCGATAAATGCTAAGACAGCTGGATTAAGAAGCACCAATCAAAGCTACATGATTTATTAGAATATTTCCAATTATACATTTAACTGCAAATTAATTTGCTTATCAGTTTCCAGCTAGAACATTCTATAGTCCACAACAATAAAATTATGGTTCTAACACTTGTACTATGCTTTCACTATGACATCTGGAAACAGTTACAATGACTTGGCTTAGTCTATGCATGTGACTGATTGGATGAGAATTAACAATAATAGTAAATAATACAGTTTTTGTTTTTACCTGGTGGGAATGGATTTTGCTGTAACAAGAACTGAAGCTTTTCAAATCCCTTCAAAGCGAAAAAAGACATTCTTAGTTAAAAAATAATATTATCATGGGAAAACTGAAGCCAGGAAGGAAGAATTAAATGACAGTGCAGAAGAGAGACTTCTAATCAGATATATACTGCACCTGTGTTGGATTAGCCTCCATATTCATAACAGCTTGGTTGTGTAAAGTGACTGGGTCAAGCTCCTGTAATTTTTCACAAAGTTAAAATCATTTGTTAGATAGAGCAATTTTCGTATGACCTTGAAAAATGGTTTCGGTAAGTGTTCGTTATTTGTTTTATTAGCCAATCGATGAAAAGATCAAAACATGGACTCTTCGTTTTCCCGCCAAAGAGAACCCTAATACGGAGAAGACAGGTCAAGACAAGAACTATAAAGTTAATATATACTAATTAATCTTTTTATTTCTTAGCCAGCCAAAGGTACAACTAACCTTGGTGTTTCCAACACTTCTGACTTCAATACCTTCTGTTGTCATGCCAACACTGAGTTCTAGAATAATGAAAAATAGTGCGTCATTTGTTACAGTGAAACAAGCTGTCCTTTTGCATGCCACTTTGCAACACTGTTATTCGGAACTAATGTTTCAACATTGACAGTTTGCTTGGAGCAACTTGTAAGTTCAAATTGTTTATAGACAGAGAGGTAAGAGGCCCTATAGGCAGTGGTAGACCACTGATAACCAGCTTTTACTGAAACCGCTGTTACATGTATGAGAATATTGATAGGCAAATTACCCCCTTTTTGCAGGAAACCCTTCAATAAATTATTACTATCATGATTCTAATTATTAATATAATATTTACTAACCTGGATGCTCTCTGATTCCTCTTTCAATTATGTCAGCTATGTGCTTTAGGGCAGGTGCATACTGTTTTAGGCTGTAGAAACACAATGCTATGTTGTATGATAGATCTGAAAAAAAATATGGATGATAAATCCAAGACATAAGTGCAAATAACATGTTAAGAAAAATTACATGCTAAGAGGGTGTGAAGAAGAAGATTAAAGATAACATACAGTGGAACCTCTCATTTGGGACACCTTTATTCAAGAGACAAGGTCTCCATTCAGGGGACACAAAAATTAATTTGGTCCCAGAAAAAAGCCCACATAATCTATGTATTTTATTTCCTCTTTTGAAGGGGCACCTCTATTCAGGGGAAAGGGACAATTTTTCTAGGTCCCGAAACCTGGGTTTCACCTCCTTTCAGGGGACACCATGGCACTCAAAAAGTAACTGATCACAAAAGGAATTGATATCTTTAAGTAGGGAGCTTTCACATACTGAACTAACTGACTTAAATCGATGTACTGCACTTGCATGAATTCAACATATGTCACAGAGAAAAGCTGAAGATTATTTTTTATGTTGTCTTTGTTGGTTGATTATTAACAAACCCCAGCCCAACCTCCATTCAGGGGACACTTCTATTCATGGGAAACTTGCCTCAGTCTGGAGGGTGTCTCCTGAATAGAAGTTACTTCGGGCATGAAGTTTTTTCAGCCGAGCTTTCGCTTAACCAACCAAAAGCGACGCGCGTTTGTATCCGTTCGACAAACCAATCAAATCGCTCTATTTCCCTTCGTTTGTTGTTTCTGTTTTGTTCGCACAATTTCATTTCAAGGTCATACGAAAATCGCTCTATACATATTTTTAGGTTGTGTATTGTTGTTTGCAGACATTCACATCTTTCTCAAAATTTGCAAAGTAAAGATTTGTGTTAATTATATTATTATGATGTTAAAAACAATATAACCGGTGCTAAAAGAAATCCATGCACAGTGCTTCAAGGTGTGACTATTTTAGTAAACATACAGTGAGTAGAAAATTAAACTAATAATTAATATAATTAATATTAGTATTATTATTAATATTAGAGTTAAGCTACCTCTTCAGTTCTTGGAGGCATATCAGTCAGTGCTTCTTGTGCTGAATCAACTAAAATTCAAAAGCACATTCAGTTACTGATGAAATTTAACAAAAAATAAGACAAGACTAATACTTAGTTCAGTCTATAAAAAAATGACACGCCGGTACAAAGCAATATGTATAAACACCCTTACAAAGTTTGCAAATCAATCAAGCATGTATTCAGCCACAACTGACAACAACTTACAGTTTTTGAGCTGGTATTCAATCCCTGCCTTTAGGTTAAAAGCTTCAATTAAAGCTGTTTCATGTAAAACCTAAAAAAGGAAGTAAATCACTAATTTGAACCAAATTATTATTAGGGTGAATTAATTTTGACTCAAACAATGATGCAAATAATAAGAAAGCAACTGAAATGAAAAATATAAATATAGCCCCCATCTATAAACTGAACTTGTTATCATCACAATAAACTGGTGTTGTAGTTTAAGAATTGACAAGTGTTTAGAACTTTACTTAGTCTGCCACACCGGCTAGGAACTAAGTCAGTAAACTTGAGACAGGTCAAGACAAGAACTATAAAGTTAATATATACTAATTAATCTTTTTATTTCTTAGCCAGCCAAAGGTACAACTAACCTTGGTGTTTCCAACACTTCTGACTTCAATACCTTCTGTTGTCATGCCAACACTGAGTTCTAGAATAATGAAAAATAGTGCGTCATTTGTTACAGTGAAACAAGCTGTCCTTTTGCATGCCACTTTGCAACACTGTTATTCGGAACTAATGTTTCAACATTGACAGTTTGCTTGGAGCAACTTGTAAGTTCAAATTGTTTATAGACAGAGAGGTAAGAGGCCCTATAGGCAGTGGTAGACCACTGATAACCAGCTTTTACTGAAACCGCTGTTACATGTATGAGAATATTGATAGGCAAATTACCCCCTTTTTGCAGGAAACCCTTCAATAAATTATTACTATCATGATTCTAATTATTAATATAATATTTACTAACCTGGATGCTCTCTGATTCCTCTTTCAATTATGTCAGCTATGTGCTTTAGGGCAGGTGCATACTGTTTTAGGCTGTAGAAACACAATGCTATGTTGTATGATAGATCTGAAAAAAAATATGGATGATAAATCCAAGACATAAGTGCAAATAACATGTTAAGAAAAATTACATGCTAAGAGGGTGTGAAGAAGAAGATTAAAGATAACATACAGTGGAACCTCTCATTTGGGACACCTTTATTCAAGAGACAAGGTCTCCATTCAGGGGACACAAAAATTAATTTGGTCCCAGAAAAAAGCCCACATAATCTATGTATTTTATTTCCTCTTTTGAAGGGGCACCTCTATTCAGGGGAAAGGGACAATTTTTCTAGGTCCCGAAACCTGGGTTTCACCTCCTTTCAGGGGACACCATGGCACTCAAAAAGTAACTGATCACAAAAGGAATTGATATCTTTAAGTAGGGAGCTTTCACATACTGAACTAACTGACTTAAATCGATGTACTGCACTTGCATGAATTCAACATATGTCACAGAGAAAAGCTGAAGATTATTTTTTATGTTGTCTTTGTTGGTTGATTATTAACAAACCCCAGCCCAACCTCCATTCAGGGGACACTTCTATTCATGGGAAACTTGCCTCAGTCTGGAGGGTGTCTCCTGAATAGAAGTTCCACTGTAAATGGAAACTAGATAATGGCAGGATAAGTCAGTCTTGGTAATAAATCTCAAAAGCGACATCTACAGGCTGCACAGTTACTATACTCTCTGACAAGTTTTAAAACATAGTTACCTGGTTGATATCCAAGAATGTTCATAGCCGTCTGGAATTTTTGACAAGCCTCAGCATATCTACCCTCCTATTAAAAATAAATTTTGATGTGATTTTTTTATCACTATTGTAAACAGTATTCATTCTTTAAGACCTGCTACACATACTGTACACCTGTAGATGTAACTGACAACCATACAAGAGCGAGAGAACACAATGAAAGATTAAAGACAAATAGATCCATCAGCCATCATTGTATAGACACAATTTGGGAGAACTGGTTGGAAAAATGTGACTGACACAAGGGGCACTTTAAGGAAACTTGAGGGGAGCCCAGTGCTCTGAGCCTGTAAAATCTAGGGTGCCCAGCATATGATTTGAATAAAAAAAGATGGATTTACTAGTCACCCAAGAGCAAAAGTTGGGCATCAGGGGACATCGGGCTCTGCTAGGACATAGCCGTGACTGATTCTTTTTTCTTAAATAAATTGAACATAAAATGGTTGGTGCGTTACCTGGGGGGGGACAAAAAACAAATTCTGCATGATGAAAACAAGATTATTTTGAGCTACCCACCTGTAACATATTGTTATTTACAATAAAATGTATTTTTTAAGTCTAAGAGGTGGCTCATTTATATAACATCTATGGGGGGACATGCTCCAGGATAAGACTCACTATTACAGTTTGTGGCAACAGTGTCTAGATGTAACTAATTATCACACATATTTTTCTCAGCTGATAATTATGTTATTTCTTACCTTGTACAGAAGACAGCCCAGATTGATTTCTGTGTCTGCATCATCAGCAGGACATTGTTCTACCATACTCTAAATTTGCAACACAGAGAATATACTGTCACAATGATGCACTGTCATTACAGTTTAATAATGTCTATAAACATCTTTTATGCTAAATTCTTAGTTCATTTTGCTTATGGAAGAGACAGTGCAAAATGCTTTTAATGCTAGAAATAAATTTACATTCCTTCTTTTTTTGTATAATGACAAGTAAGAACAAGAAACCATATAATTATATGTCTCAGGTCAAATTTTATTTCAGGTTATTTTGATTTAACCTAGGTTGACTCTCAATTCCCTGTGTCTCCTTACCCTAGGAGACAAAGGAAATTATTGAGAATAAACCTGAAAAAATTAACCTGAAATTAAATTTGACCTGAGAAGAATCTGTTAAATTCCCCACGTATTACTTTCTAATTTTCAAAACAACCGTTATTTTCAAAGCGAACAAGACTGTCATCAGCATATTAATTTTTATACTCTCATAAAGCGCACTTTTTCAACCAATCAGAGTGTGCATTGTACATGTACATCTGAACTTTGTTAATTCTATAAATTAAACCCTGGCTTTGAACTCTTGTGAGGTAAGGGACCACCAACAATGACAAAAAACAAAGTATGTACACGTATTAGTCACAGAAACACTCACCTTAGCTCCTTGTAAATCTTCCTCTCCATATTTTATAGCAGCTTGAAGTTTCAGCACCTGGTGAGAAAAGAAGCCATAATACCATTGTAATGTTTATGAAACATTCTAGACAAGTTAATCTAAAACTTAACCTAACTGAACAAAATAGAAATTCCAAGAACTCCAGGAAGTGTCCTTAAAAAACTTGAAAGTCAGTAAGTATCTCCTCTTGCTTGTGGGTCCTCTACCTCTAAACCAAGATAAAGTGTGTAGCTCCTCCCATAAAGGGGTTTGCTCTATGACCCCACCTCCCCTGTGAAAATTCCAATTTTCCTTCATACATTTTTCTTTCTCTTTCTCTCTCGCTCTCGCTCTCGCTCTCGCTCTCTTTGAGACCTCCCTCTTGGAATTCCCCATCCCTTCTGTGGGGGAAAAGGGTTGTTTTCTGGAATTACACAACACAATAAATTACAATCACACAACAGACAAGGTTAGTAGAAATGAGATAATACTTCTAAGGTATAGTGCAGGCCTCACCTTGGAATGGTAGGTAGGATTTTCAATCTGAAATGTTGCTTTCATGGCTTCTGGATACATGAAGGCTTTATACAAGGACTGTAAAGAAAATAAAATGACATTGCATTACAACAGTACTGTAGTAAAAGGACTTTTGTCTTAAAGTGGAACTTCTTAACAAGGCAAGTAGTATAGTTTTATAGGAAAATAGCGCCTCTTGGTGACTTAAAAAATGCTCTTAAGTCTACACAAAAAAGACCAGGTCTGATAGTATGCCAGTACAGTCCAAGGCAAGCATGGTTTACAATAAAAACACTGACATCAAAATAATTTTTAGACAAGTTGTAAATTACTAAAAAAAGATCCCTCAAGAACTTGCACAGGCAAGATCTTTCAGAACTTGACTGCAATATCTGATATCCAGGAATTAAATCATTTTACAACTCAAAACCGAGCTCAATATTTTTATTTAAGTGCATTGACTTATCTTTCTCAACCACTCAATAACCACAAAAGTTTTTTTGTGTGTGTATGGATGTGTCTGTGCAGGTCTATAAAAACCTTACAGTCATGAGCAAAAACAGATTTACCATATAAACCTTCCTTGTCTCACAAACCTGAGCATAAGCTAACTTGTACTCATCTACTTCAGGATGAATCTGTGTGAGCTGGCCATAACTATAATTGTGAGATAATAAAAAGACAGACATAGAAAATTGAGGATCAACCGAGGTTGAAAAATTTTAACATGAATTTAATTTTGACCTTCAACATGCATATATTAAGCTAGGTTTTAGCCAGACAGTCAAAAGCCAAATTTTTGGAGAAATGAGGCAAATTAAGTTAGATCTTGGTTTTAGAACGGCTACCCTAAGAGCTGATAAAGATTTGGGATTTTGGTACAGTTAGTAAGAAATCTTTCACCCAAGAGGGTTCAATTTTTCATGAGAGAAGACTTGCCCCCAGAACTACACAGAGAATTAGAGAATTCCTGGCTAAAGTCCTGAGTTTGTTATTATTATATTAGAGTCCCAGTAAGATGCATAAGACCAACTAAAAATGCTTAGTTGAACTGCAGGTGGGCTATGCAGTGTGTATGTTGTAGGTATTTCTCAGTTTAAACCAGTCTTCAACTTACAATGGGGGGAAAGTGGGGGGGAGGGGGGGCTTTCCTCTTCCACCTCCTGTATCCCTCCCACTCCCTCTTCTCCTAGGCTCCCACCCCTTGTCCTCCCCCACCAAGATACCAAGATTAGAGCCCTAGCAAATAGCTAATCCTAATAATGCTGAACACTGGTTTAAACTTTGAAGTTATTATGCCTACAACATGTATACTTACCAGTCAGCAGCTACATCAAAGCTTTGAACTTGAAAGTAGCAGTAGCCTAACAAGGACAGTGCTGCTCTTGACTGAGAGAAAAAAAGGTCATTGAATATCAGTTTTATTTTGGTTATTTCTTGTTCCCAGGGTTCTCTCCTCGCCATCCATCTCTCACTCTCGTTCTTCACAGATGGGTGGGGGAGAACCCTGGAGAAAAGGTTCATACGGTTCTATCATTTCTTTGTGAAGGAGGTACTATAAACAATCTCAGTTACTATAAAGTACTGGAGTTAAAACTTTCAGTTGTTCATTGTAAAATGTATCAACTAGGTAACAGAGAAGTCTTCTTCCTAACTTTTTGCAAACTATGGTGATCCACACAAAACTATTTAAACTGTACTTTTCTGTTGACACTTCTATAAGTTATGATTCAAATAAAGTTGAAGTCCAATACTTGGCCATATTACCATCCATCACTGTACATTATGTTAACTTGCCTTAGGGTGATTCTCTAGCTCCTGCGAGAGGATTTGGATTGCTTCATGAAACTTTTGATTCTTTATCTACAATATAGTGGAGCAAAATAATTTTATGAATAGCTTTATAAAAACATTTACCCAACCTAGAATGGGAATGGAAGATGCACTAGGGTTGGAATTATTTTGCTGTCTAGTGTATAACAGGTTTACAGAATACAGGGAAACAAGATTTAAGAGTCCTACTGAGAAATTAACAATAACCAATCCACCCTCCTCACTTAGAAGGCATGATTCTCACAAGCCCTTTTTTTGTTAGCTTCCTCTGGAAGTCAGGATTTAGACAGTCCATTTTTTCCCAAGTCAGATTCATTCATCTCTAACATATGAATTACATGTAATCAGAAATTTTGACAGCACCCAGATTCTTGGCTTGCAACCCCGTGACAAGGCGGCCATGTTGGTGGTTTGTTGGTGGTCGATCAATACAATAGAAATACAGTGGAGATATATATTACAATAGAGGAAAGAAATGCTTTTGTTCTGACCATCAACACACAACCAACATGGCCGCCGTGACGTCACATGCAAACCAGCAATAAGGATAACACAAAATTTAGTAGGAAGATGGCACTACATATACCTCAAGGTAATGCATGGCAATTCAAACTCCCTACATTTTGAGCCAACAGGGTCCATCCATAACATTCATACCTTACAAAAAATGCCTTCCATATGGGAAATGCAGGTTTAAAATGAGATGTCCCAATGTAGCATTCTTCCCCCGGTTAGCGTAGGAGGGATAACTGTATACGGTCATACACTAAGACACAGGCTCTGAGAGCCAAAATACAGCATTATGATTGGATAAAAACCTACACTAACTAAGTAATGGACGTTTGAAAGTCATTAGAAGATATAATCTGTAAAATACTTTAAGTTGAGCAGCTGTGAACCCAATTTTATCTCTCACAAATTTCACGTTGTTCCCGAGCAACCGATGTCAACAAAATATCAAACCCCCGAATCAGATCTAAACACGGTAAGATCACACTAAAAAGCTTACCATTCCGTAAATTGTAGTCGTATATTCTCCTTCTTTGACTTGTGTAGTCGCCATCTCGATAACCAAACGCGTAAAGGAACGACGAAATTCACGAAAATTTTCAGAGAGACGAGAGCAAAGGAAGAATATTTCAGAGAGTTCCCCGGATTGTCAAATGATAAACTAGATCCCAGTACTCCGCGACAAAAAACTTGCGCCTGGCAAATATCGTTCTTTTCATTGACCCCGCGACAATGATTCTTTGTAATTGATCAGATTGTCACTTTCGTGCAAACATCGGACAGGGTATAATCTTAGACTCTAGGTAAGAAAAAGTTATAATTTTGCTGTGCTTCTTTATTTTAGGAAGCTTCTTTCACTGACAGAAGCAAGCAATGATTTGCTTAAGATAATCGGCGCCGTATTGAGTAGTCTTTTATCGTTCATTATATTTCATTCTGGGATTTTAAAAATTTGAAGGCCAACTAAACATCTGCGTTAGCTTAGCTTGTAGCTAACATGTATGGATTTGCTTCCATCATGTTCATTCATAACTTGCCGATCTATTTAGTGGCCTTCAATTACAATCCTCTAATTAAATTCTGTAGGACGTGTCTTATGTAATTTCTGGTAGAATTTCCTTTTACAATCCTGAGTATCCCTTCATTTATTTGTTCACTGGTTGGTTAATTAATAATTTCGTGATTTCCCAGTGGATATTCCAAAATATACAGTACAGAAAATAACCTTTCTTAAAGTCGTAAAAATTATCTTCAATTATTTTTTTATTTTTTTTTTTCATCTTTGGGATTTTTAGGTTAAAAGGTTTTTTTTTGCAATCAGACACTAAAGCCACACCTTTTGAATTATTTATCACTGACAAAAACTCTTTGTTGGAAAGTAAATTAAAGTTTTCAGTTGGTATATTATGTTTTCTTGAGTAAGCATTCGAGACATATAAATTCTTTTATTCTAATAACTAGAAAGTTGATGCATTTTTATAAGCAAAAAATTCAGAGAGGGAAATTATGATGAAAACAAAAATGTTACATTTTTCTTATGCTTCAGTGGAGGAAGTAAGCATCTAAAACCCCTCAGGTCATATAATTTTATTATGTGTTTGTTTAAAATAGTGAGGTTGTTTATAAGGATTTAGATAGGATATCACTAACACATTAGAGAAAGAGGTAGATAGAGTGCACACTGTACAGATAAAAACTAGAACTTGCTTCTTTTATGTTTCTTTACTTGTTCTTACAAAGTCCAGCTTTAGTTCTTACAGTACATGCAGGTTGATTGACACCTCTTGCAAGTAACTACACTATTTCAAGACTAATCAATACTGCTATTATATATACCATTGTTGTTATTTTAATTTTCTTCTTGCTTCAGTGAAAGATCATTCTCTCTCTTTGGATTAAAATGGACGTATTATTAAGAATCTCAATGGCCTTAGTGCTTTGCCTCTCAGCATTAGGATCCAAAGTCAAGTTACCTCCAGATATGTCCCAAGGTTTGTATGAAAGTCAATAGATCCTCACAGTACTATCGATCACAAGTAAAGACCTGGACCTTTTATATCTTAGAGTAACCGTTTTTTCCATTGTTAAGGCATTAGATAAAATCTTGAATTCTTATTACATAACTCTAGCTTATCAATGCAACAAAAGAGATCAGGTATTCACAGTCATGTTTTTAATATTATATTAAAAACATGACCGTGTAGTGTCCCAAGTTATAATTGAAGTAAGACAAAACTGCAGTCACATTCATGAAGGTGTCAATACCTGATCTCTTTTGTTATCTCTGATGGCACTTACATCATATCTTTGTTTTTTGGCTTCTTTTGAATAAAATGAGCTGTTATTGTTGTCATTAGATTGCCCAAAATCTCAATTTTTATTTGACAAAGAAGCTTACCTTTTTTATGTGTTTTCCTTTCTAGCAATTTTCTGTGAGAGTTGCAGTGCTGTGATGCAAGGTAATGAAACCATGTGACTTTTATTGACAATGGCCACTAACATGACAGGTCTTAATTTTAGCTGAAGCCTTTATCCATGATATGTATACCCAGAGTTCTAAAGAGGAAAGGGCCTTTGCCATTTTGTAGTGGAAAATCCCAAATCAATATTATATACCCTCAATAAGGAGAGCAGGGTTGCTCGCCCACAGATTTTTGAGCAAAAGAGAGACTGCTTGCAGCCTATGGAGAAGGGCATAACATGGGTACCAATACTGCGAAACTGCACAGAATTAAATATAAACACCACACAGAATAACATAAGAAACTGTAAACCGCATTGAAATTACCCAAAAATTTCTAAATACCACAAACTGCGTGGTTTTGTAAAACAGCAATACAACTTAAAATAAAAATTCCCGCAAAACAGCACCAAAAATCGAGCCAAAGCTCGTCACCACAAACCCGTATGCCCCCCTCCCTCTGATAAGACAAGACAGACCAAAATTATATTTAGAACAGTCAATAGAGAGCGCTTTGTAAGGCTAATGAACAGTCAGTTATAGGGAGAGAGGGAAAGAGTTTCCATTGAAAGCAAAAAAATATTACCGACATTGAAATGTGTACACTGTAAATGTGTTGCAAGGAGAGCTGCCTTTGACCTTCAAAGAGAATTAATGTTCTTTCAAAACAGAGTGATCCACTAGCAGGACAGAGTGAAAAGCAAACTGGAAATGTTTTCTTTTACTTTTCTGTCTTTGGCCTGTTCCAGGCTCTTTTTACTATACATCTACTTGCTATTATTTTGATTGTCCAGGATAAATGAGAATGCAGAAACCTAGAACAAAGGCTAACCTGTCCCTCACCTGAAACCCTGCCTCTCCCCACCCACTTCCCCCTTCTCAGCCATGGTATTTCATGACAGCAACCATTCACACATGAAGACAGAAAATCAAGGAGAGGGAAGTGGTTGGGGATCAGCTCTCTCCATGTAGAAAGAGGGTAAGAAAGAAAACAGAAATTCCTTCTAATTTTGCTGTGTTTTTCCCATCTCTTTTTAGAAATAGGCAAGTTGTTAGCCAAAAAGAGTTCTGATCCAAGAGAATTGCAAGTGGTTGAAGCAATGGAGGACATCTGTCAAGCTAAATATTTTTCAAAGTATCACTATTCTCCACCTACAACAATTAAAGCTTGTAAATTTCTCATAGGTGAGTTTTCTGGCTTTGATTTTAAATAAATTAATGTGTCTGTGATTTCTTTTTTTTTTTAGTTTTCTGTTCCTTTCTTTTGTCCTGTTCTAAATTCATAAAATACCGCAGGAAAATAGTCCACAGTCAAAAGCTGGTGGTCGACCATAGTGCACGGCCATTATTGACAGCTTAGTACAGCCGTATCAAAGTGTATTTTGCTTCTTTTTTCATTGAAAAATAATCAGAAATCACAGGTGGCCATGACATGCTATAATCAAAACTTGTACATTTAATATTCTCAGTGCACTGGCATTCTTTCTCCTAAAACTGCATTTACATGCCGGGCAAATTTTACTTGGCAAAGTGAAAGTTTGTGTTAAGCCTAAAACAATATTAACCATGATAAAATATATTAAGTCTCTCTTCCTATTACACCCCTCTCTAGTAAATCCCCCCCCCTCTCTTTGAAGGTTGAACTTTGTAATAAACCCAGTCGCTAATAATCACTCTGTTATACGAGATGTTTAGATTAAAATATAATAAGCTTCGTCCAGCTTGTAATTGAGTTTTTATGGTAGCCTTAACCGCGAAGGTAAGTTGATTAACGGAATTTATGAAGGGGTCACTCGAAACACGTTCACTTAATACAGCTTTCAATGTAATAGGCCACCTAGTTCCAAAAACCCTCACTTTCAAAATGAGGCTAGGTGCACAACCTTTCTTGTGAAAATAAGTTTTATTTGCATGAGAATGAACAATAGGGCCATTTATAGGAGGAAAAATAAGAGGCGTCTTACATAAGACGCGTCTTAAATAAGACGCGAAGTGTACCATTTATACGAGCATGTCTTATCTAATAAGACGCGTCGTAGCTAAGCCGCGTCTTATTTTAGACGAAATGTGCCGTTTATACGGAAAGTTCGTGTCTTATTTAAGACGCGTCTTATTTTTCCTCGTATAAATGGCCCTAATGATTTCCATATCAAAGGCTGAGCACCTACCCTCGTTTTGAAACAGAGGCATGGGGGAACTCAGAAATGGCGTATTTTTACGTGTTTTTTTTTTTTTGACAGAAAAATACGAAGAAGAACTGGAACAGCTGTTGACCACGAAGTCAGCAGATTATGAAAAGGAAGTCTGCTACGAGTTGACGAAGGCTTGCGAAGGAGTAGATAGAAGTAAGAAAGAAAAAGAAGAGATGGATGTCCGGTTTAATGATCAGAAACAAGAGGTTAAAACGGAAAAATCAACACCACAGAAAGACGACGATGGAATTCAAAGGATGAACATTGATATTAATGATCCCGGTGCCGCGAAACGATTAGCAGATCAAATCAAAATGCAGGTTGCACAGCAGCAGGCAATGGGTGGCGGAAGTGATGATGAAGATGATGATGATGACGAAGATGAAGACGAAGAGGAGGATGAGGATGAAGACAACTCGTCAAAAACTAAGAAGAAAACTGAACTTTAATCAACTGTAAAACGCGATTAGTTTTTCTTTTCTAATGTTTGTTTTTTTGCTGTTTTGCCTTCTAGAGTTTACCCTGCCAGCAGAGGTTTCCTTTCGCTAGCTCGATTCATTTTTAGCGTACTGGGTCAAGGAGAAGACAAAACGAAGATTCTGCTCGCAGCTGGGCGCGATCCATTCAACCAAAATTCAGACCGGTCTGACTGGGAAAAGTGGTCCACCTCAAAAGGTGGACCAGTTTTTTCGAAACTTTTCCGGTTGGACCGAACCGATCCATTGAGTTTTGGGCCGAAATTTCCGGAATTTTTGGTTGAATGGATCGCTCCAAGTGTCAAGAGAAAATGAACGTTATATTAATACCAACGCTATAAAATTCTACAAAGTGACACTCTTTCCTTATATGAAAGGGTTGGTTTCTAAAGAAGCTCTTTTCCTGGCTAGAAATAGCAACAGCGGACAGGCGTTTTTAGGTTAAACGTATATATCTAACTTTCTTTTACAAGCGCTCTAAAGGACCGGAGGAAATGACAGGCAAACCAAAGATCAGTTCACCGCTAGGTCTATGTTCATTACCCACCGAACATTGTCCTTTGACTGGCTGATACTTTAAGCCCTAAAATGTGTAATGTGATGTTGCGAGAAGGCCGAAAAATCGCCACCCTTTTCCCTTCTTTACTCCAAACTGATGAAGATTGCAAGGCTTGTCTTCTAAAGATCAATATTCAAGGAAAATTACAAATTTCGAGTCGTTTAATGAACTGAATCTGATGACAAGCTGTTTCTTGGGAAAAGATCTGCCTAACGGAAGATTTCTTTTGAATGGTAACACCAAAAGATTTCACCCACAGACACAAAACTAGGTACAACGAAACATGGACCCATTTTCGAGGGAGTGAACTAAACTGAAGTTTTTAGCGCTAGCTTCCCCTTTCTCCAGATATCTAAAATTTGCATAGAAGTAGGTAACTCTATGTCTGTACAATTTCTAAACCGAAAAATTCTTATACTATAATTTTACTTATCGACTTTTATTCATTATTTCTACAAATGCATTATTAATATTAAAGTAATATATTATAAACAATCTTCCTTTTCTGAAAGTGCTAATTAGTTTACCAATGAGTCTGCGAAGCGTAATAAGAAAAATAAGAAAAGGAAAAGAAAAATATAAACAAACTCGTTTATAAACGACTACGGCTATAAGTAGCTTGAGCTCGGAAACCGAGGAAAACTGGAAAGGAGCCCCCAGACGTTTCTCCTGACTCCTGACAGCTTGCCTTCAGGATCTGTAATTGCTTGACAGTTTCTTTGGCAATTTGAATACCGTAACAGTCTCTCAGGTTGTTTAGCGACCAAGTTTTTGAAGTTACGACAAACGAATGAGTTCTTTCGGCACGCTCGCTCTCTTTCTCTATCCCTCTCTTCAGCCTGAACTTGCTCAAGGGCTATTGGCATGGAGTCTGGTTTTGGTGGACGATTTTTCCCGTAGCCTGCGCAGTAGGCGGGATTGTTGTGCCCGGAGTACTTTTTTGGCGGCGCGGAGCCGACATGTGAAGCGAGTGGCGACGGTCGTGGCGACGCCGACTACTAGTAGCTCCCAATCTTCACGCGGTTTCGTCGCCAAAAAACTACAGCACTTGCCCGCTAATCCCGCCAAATTTTCCTGTCATTCGAGCGACCTTCACGTTGAATGAAGTGGTGATATTAAATTAAGGTAGTATAATAGAGAAATCCTGAGGCTGGTTTCTTTCTAGTTACTGGCTACTGTTGAGCAAGTTGGGCTACAAGCATATTTGAGAGGGTGGTAACTCGATAGTGAGGTGGATTATCTTGA